CCTGACCGAGGCCCGACCCCCGTCCCGGCCTTTCTCTCGCTCTTGCTTGGCTCCCTCCTGCCCGCTCCCTTCGGCCCGACCCATCATCCCCGGCCGCGCGCCGACCCGGGCCGGTCCCGCAGCCCATCCCTTCGCTCCCGTCCGGCCCGGCGCCCCCGAGACGCCCCGGGGGAATCCCCCGCCGTTTGGGGAGGGACCGAGGTGCTCGGTGGCCCCCAGATGGAGCACCCCAGCCCGATCTAACGCCCTTCTTCCCGGGTTCGACCCTCCAGAGGGGAGACTGCGGCACCACGGGATTGTTGGGGTGCCTTCTCGGAAGTTCCCAGTCAGCCCCCCTCCCACCCCCCACTCAGGCTTCCCAGTGTCCCAGCCTGATGTGTGGCCACCAGGGCCCGGGATCTGCTTCACTGGTATCCCAACAATGCGCAGAAGCTTCTTGGACCCCAGAAAAAGTTGGGAGTTTGTAGAAGGTGGTGAGGTGGAGAAAGGGGCTGCGTTGCGCCGGGCGAGTGGTGAGACTGAAGCCGCATGCAGCTAGCTTGTCTTCCTTAGGCATACAGGACTCGAAAAGGGGGGCAAGTGGGATCCAGCAAGCCTTTAGCAGTCTTGCCTATATAATTAGACGCCTTCTTAGGGCATCAAGTAAGTCTTTTAGTTCTGGTCAGCATATGCATAGATCCCAAAAAGGGTGGTTTAAAAAAAAAAAAAAAGCATATTTAAGTAATAGTAAATGCTACAGTGTATTCTAGTTTGCTTTATTTCTCTGGGTCCTGAGTGTTTTAGCTTCATCCACAGCATACAGAGAAGGTGACAGAGAAGTATCTGGATGGCTCTGGGTTATGGTAGGGAGACATCAGAACTCATGAATGAGCAAGAGGTTTATTTAGGGACTGGAAGGACGGAGCCTTGATAAGAAAATAAAAGAACAAACTTATCTTGCCCTCAGCAGCTAATGGAACTTTGCTAATGGTGTTCAAGTGCCGATATGGCATTTGGCATTGCAAGAGAAGTGAATGTACACAGTGAGATAGGAAAGCTTGTTTGGGGGAAGAAATTAGGAGATTAATGTGAGCCCGCCGTGTGGTGATGAAGTGAAGGATTGTGTCCGAGAAGTTGCCTCTGGCTTGGCGCTAAAGCACTAGCTTCTGTCCAGCCAGGCCTGCCACCTCCCTTACTGAGTCTTACAGACGGCCCTATCAGGTTTTTCTCAATACTTTCGGGTTTCGTTGTGAGGACTCTGTCTTTGGGAATATGCAGGGAGAGAGGTCACCGTCCCATCATTTGTCCTTGCCCCCAGCAGCTTGGAGCAACTCGCCCTGTCCATGGGCTCCTGCTCCCCACCCAGGGCTTTGAAACACTCAGACTGGCGGTGTTTTCTTCTGCACAGCTCCTCGCTTGCAGGAATGTGTTTGGCCATCCATCTCTTCCTTTTACCGTCCACAGATGAACCGTGCTGATACAGAGGCAACTTCGTAGGAGCTGCTAAGATGGGCATGAGGATCAAACTGCAAAGCACCAACCACCCCAACAACCTGCTGAAGGAACTCAACAAGTGCCGGCTCTCAGAGACCATGTGCGATGTCACCATCGTGGTGGGGAGCCGCTCGTTCCCGGCCCACAAAGCCGTGCTAGCCTGCGCGGCTGGCTACTTCCAGAACCTCTTCCTGAATACCGGGCTGGATGCTGCCAGGACCTACGTGGTGGACTTCATCACCCCCGCCAACTTTGAGAAGATTCTGAGCTTTGTCTATACTTCAGAGCTCTTCACAGACCTGATCAATGTTGGGGTCATCTATGAGGTAGCCGAGCGCCTGGGCATGGAGGATCTCCTTCGGGCCTGTCACTCCACCTTTCCTGACTTGGAGACCAGTGCCGTGGCCAAGCCCCTGGCCAGCGGCGGGGAGAGCCACTCGGGTACCCAGAGCTGTAGCTCAGCAGAGCCTGCCTATCCCCTCGGAGACCTCCGGGGGGGCGGGGAGCACTTTGGTCCCGAGAGGAACTATGTATTACCTAGTGATGCTGGAGGAAGCTGTAAAGAGGAAGAGAGAAATGTCACCGGTGACACTAATCATAGCCTGTCTTCCCTGCCACCAAAGGCGGAAGACCATGATGCCCCTGCTCCTTTCACCTCCGTTCCTAGTATGGTGACTCAGCCGGTCCTCGGCACCGTCAGCATGGGCATCCAAACCAGCACGAGCTCCTGCCAGCCGTACAAAGTTCAGAGCAACGGAGACTTCAGTAAAAGCAGCTTCTTCCCCCCTGACCATGCAATTGACATTACCACTGGGACCAACTCCTGTCTGAGCAATAGCGACCACTCCAAAGATCCGGGCTTTGGGCAGATGGATGAGCTCCAGCTGGACGACCTGGGGGATGATGACTTGCAGTTTGAAGACCCCACCGAGGAGATCGGCACAGCCGAGGAGGTGATTGAGTTGAGTGATGACAGCGAGGATGAGCTGACTTTTGGAGAGAATGACAACCGAGAGAATAAGGCCATGCCCTGCCAGGTGTGCAAGAAAGTTCTAGAGCCCAACATTCAGCTCATCCGACAGCATGCTCGGGACCACGTGGACCTGCTGACGGGCAACTGCAAGGTCTGCGAGACCCACTTCCAGGACCGAAACTCCCGGGTGACCCATGTTCTGTCCCACATTGGCATTTTCCTCTTCTCCTGCGACATGTGTGAAACTAAGTTCTTTACCCAGTGGCAGCTGACCCTCCACCGACGGGATGGGATATTTGAGAACAACGTCATTGTCCACCCCAGCGATCCCCTTTCGGGGAAGCTGGGTCTGTTTTCCGGGGCAGCCTCGCCAGAGTTGAAATGCGCTGCCTGTGGGAAGGCCCTGGCCAAAGATTTCCATGTGGTCCGGGGGCACATCCTTGACCATCTGAACCTGAAGGGCCAGGCGTGCAGCGTCTGCGACCAGCGCCACCTCAACCTGTGCAGCCTCATGTGGCACACGCTGTCCCACCTGGGCATTTCGGTCTTCTCGTGCTCCGTCTGCGCCAGCAGCTTTGTGGACTGGCACCTCCTGGAGAAGCACATGGCCGTTCACCAGAGCCTGGAGGACGCGCTCTTCCGCTGCCACGCGTGCAGCCAGGGCTTCAGGTCGGAGGCCGCCTACCGCTACCACGTCAGCCAGCCCCGGTGCGCCCGTGGCCCTGACGGCCGGCCCGCTTCGGGGCCGCGGCACCCCGCCCTCCAGAAGCGGAAGCTGCCCGCGGAGGAGTTCCTGAGCGACGAGCTGGCTCTGCAGGGCCAGCCCGGGAACAGCAAGTACAGCTGCAAGGTCTGCGGCAAAAGGTTTGCCCACACGAGCGAGTTCAACTACCACCGGCGGATCCACACGGGCGAGAAGCCGTACCAGTGTAAGGTGTGCCACAAGTTCTTCCGAGGCCGCTCGACCATCAAGTGCCACCTGAAGACACACTCGGGGGCCCTCATGTACCGCTGCACGGTCTGTGGCCACTACAGCTCCACGCTCAACCTCATGAGCAAGCACGTGGGTGTGCACAAAGGCAGCCTCCCGCCCGACTTCACCATCGAGCAGACCTTCATGTACATTATCCATTCCAAAGAGGCGGAAAAGACCCCGGACAGCTGACTGGGTCCCGGCAGAGCTACGGGGAGCTCCCAGGCGGCAGCCAGGACGTTGCTTTTCTAATGGCTCTTGGTCCCTCTCCAGCCGAAGTTTCAGTTTGGCCTTGCTAGGAATTCCGTTCTGTCTTGCGGTTAAAGAAGAGAAAAGAAGAAAGAGTGCACGAGCTGTTACTGTTTTGGAGAAGCAACAGCCCTATCACGTTTACCTCCTTCCCTGTTCTTGCCCACGAAGGGCTGCGGTTTTGATCCTTCGGAGGCTGGTCTTGGAATCTGGTCAGGCAGGCGGTGTCGACTAGATCCCCTTTCCGAGCCTCTCAAGTTTTAGTTTACGGATAGGTTTTTATGCTGCTAAGAATCCAACCAACAGCCTCACTGAATAGAGGAGGTGGAGAGAGGTTTTCACCGTGGGTATTGTTGCCAGCTTGCCAACTGGGACACCCGGCTGTGAGAGAGATTTGGGGAATGTGGCCGCTCAGAAAAGACTGGTCCGCAGGGCAGCTCACTGCAGGTGCCAGGCCTGGCCCTCGGCAGGGCAAAGGCAGATGGGATGGGGGCGCCTGCCCATTTCCACGCTCTGATCTGCCAATGGGACAGTAGACTCTTCTGGCAGCTAGATCCAGACTGGGGGCAGAGCTTTCTGTGTAGGTCAGAAAGCTTTGGGATGGATCCTTGCCGGTCGGAAGAGGTGTCCGACGCAGTGCCACCAGGAGGGGCGGCCCGGATGGACAGCAAGGGAGGCCCCTCTTTTCTCCTCGATTCCAAAGAAAGACGATTTTATGGAGTTGTAGCCCAGGTGGCCAGGTAGGCCTTCCCTGTGGGGCAGAGAGGACAGGGAGCCGCTGTGATATAGTCATCTGTCACCTGGCTACCTCCGTCGACCTTGAGTGTCCTGGTGGAGAGGTGGGGATGTCTCTGACAGCAGCAGCCTTGCCTTAATTTACATCCAGTCTCCCACCTAGAAGCGTGTTTGACCTGTGGTGTAGATGAGAAGACCCCGTGGGGTGGCGGAGTGATGGACTGTGAGCCCTTCAGCATCGAAGGGACCCGAGTAACTGGTGGTGTGTAGCGGGATGTGCGGTCTGTCTGTCCCAGTCGGGTAACCTGTTGTTTACTTTGGGGTAACTGGCCAGGAGCTTTGGCAGCTCGCTTTTGACCTGCTGGAATTTATCCTGATCTGTCACTGCATTGCCACCAGGGGGCGCAATTGGAGGGCAGCTGATGCAGACCCACCCTAGGTGGCTGGGATGGAGTCTGCCCAGTCCTTGGGGCCGGTTGGCTCCGTTCTTGGTGGCTTTTGAGGGGCTTCTTGCCCAAAGAAGGCTTGAGGGAGAGGGCCCTCGGATCTCGCATACTCACAAGGTAGCCCCTCAGTAAGCTCCTACTACCTCACCCTGCTCAGGCGAGCTCTGGGAGTCCCTGGCCTCGGCCCTGACACTGCGCCTGGTGGGACTCAGCAGCACCCCGGGCTGTTTCACAAGCGAGTGGTTTTAATGAACTCACAGAGCCTTTTCGGACATTGATATTTATTTATTTTTGCTTTTATATACATACTACCCAGCATCTCTTTTGGATAAGTGACTTCAGGAAAATGAGTTTCTCCCCAGCAAGTAGCCATGTTCCAGGGGACAGTCCTGGCCAGAGATCTGAGAAACGGGGGCTAGGACGAGGGAAGGTGTCAGGCCTTTAAACAAACAAGTCCTTTTCTTTCTCTCCGGAGAGTCTCTTGCAGAATAAGCCCAGGGAACCCTTTAGGTAATGGATGTGAGTTCTAGAAAGTTGGGGCTTATTAAATTCCTAGGCCTTTCCTGCCTGCGCTTGAGTAGACTGGGGACTGGGTTGAGGGGAACAAGTTAAATGAAGGACCTTTTTGCACATTTTCTCATCCTTCCTAAACTTGGAAAGCTATATTAAGATATACAGGCAAGCCAAAGCTCCATCCCTGTTGGACTTGCTGCCTCTCTCCCTAGCCCTAAATTGATAAAGCCTCCCAGTTGGGGTGCCTGGCTCTCCGGTAGGGTGGCTGTTACATGAAGGGATTTGTACAAGTGGCCATTTTTCGCCATCTAAACTCAAACTTGTTACATGTTCCCTCAGGTCATTCTCGTCAGGAAAGCAGTGCTGAGACTTTTCATCCCTGACTGGCTTCCCCCTTTCTTTCCCACAACTGACCGTTGGAAATTTAAGAAGGAAAATGTGTGAAAAACCGCAGTCAAGTATCTGCTAAGCTTTTCAAGGCTGAGTGATCCCTCCCAGTCTGTTGATGAGGACTGATTTTGGAATGGGCAGATTTGAGAGAGGCGGTACTTACTAGAAGCCAGCCAAGGTGGCCGAGCATGGATCAGTGTGCTGGAGAAACCCTTTTCCTTAACGGAGGCCATCACGGATGCTGGGTAGTCTGTATACTTAACCTGAAACTGTGAAGTTTTCCCTTTTTTGCCAGTAAACCAAAAAGCAAATCCTTGAACCTTTGCCCCTGAAACACTAAACAAAAAACTGCACCCCCTGATCCTCCTGAGGCCAAGTGGTTGATCGGGGTGGCCTGGTTGGTTGCAGTCAGACGTGTAGCAGGGTCAATAGCTCATGAGGCTTATTGACCAAACCCTGTTCCTCTGCTTGTCCCCATATTTGCCCCCCCCCCCCGTTTAGAGTCATGTTTGCTGTCTCTGCCTCCAGCCCCCCCTTTTCCGAACTGTTTTACTTGAAACTCTTGTGTTGTGGCAAAGGGCACTCTGGGATACCTGGTTGAAGGTATTCATTTTATTTTGAGTTTTTAAAAATATTTTTTCAGCCTTCTGTTCTGTTGCCCGCTCTGCCTTGGAGCCCAGGTTAGCAGTCTGCTGAGGTTCTGTCTGACCCCTGAATGTCTTTTCTCCTCCCTTCCTCCTCTTTCTTGTTCTGTACTCAGGACCAGCTACATAATCTGCAGAGCCCTTTGTTTCACAATGAAGAATTTCAAGATGGCGACTGTAGAGCATTAAACCAAGCACGAGGCTATTCCCAACCTGTTTCTTAAGGGAAAAAAGTAATACTTGTATGGCACATTGGAATAAGCAGCCCAGGCTGCTTATGGCCACAGGAGGGGCTCCGTCTCCCACTTCTCCTGTGACCCGCTGCTGGCCCACTGATGACACGGTGCCCGCTGGGAAGCTCTGCTGGGTTGTGGTATTTGGTCCTACGTTTTAAGACCCCAGCGAGTCTCTATAGTTCATGGCTCGGTGGAAAGAACGGAGGTGGGGATTGGGCCCGGGTGACCCCTAAGAACCAGGAAGTGGGTAAAAGTTCTTTTTGACTGTCTTCCCTTCTGATCCATCAGCACCCCTTTGTCTCCAGGACAAATCTTTGGGCCTAAATACCTTCTCCCCAGTCAAGTTTAGCTACTGATGAATTTTCTTTGTCTTCTGGCCTCTTGCTGTGCCCTATTCCAGAGACTACTCAACTTTGGAAGTGAATTTAAATCCCTTTCTAGGTGGACACTGATTTTGTGGGTGTGGGAGTGGGCTGTGTGGAGAAGTCTGCCCATCTGGAGGTCCCCACACATCCTTTGGCCTCCGTCCTGCCCTGAGTGAGTCAGGAAGCACAGTGCACACAGCATCCATTTCACTGTGATCACTCATTGTCAAACTTAACATCAGAATGAAAATGAAACTTTTGATTTCGATGTTTCTTTAACACCCTTCCCCTGTCCAGTCCAACCTCCCCTCCCACCTCCGCTAGCGAAAGTCTCTTATGAAACCGAGAAGAGTTGTTGACGTCTAACTTCCTTGCATTAAATTAATAAGTACTGACCTCCTAATATTTAAGTGTTTACTATCTATTGCTGTAAAGTTTTGTATATTTTGTAAACTTCTTTTCCCAAATAGTAGATGTCTAAAATCGTTGTACATCTGATTCTTTTATATTCCATTGTTCGGCACAAAGTGTGGTTTTTATTTAGAATAAAAAAAGGAAATTTGAAACGGGAATTCTTTTCCTATTGACTGGGGTTGCGCTGTCCCTTGAGTTCAGAAGATCGGGGCCCAACACTCGGTAGTAGAAGCATTCTGCTCAGCAGATGCCAGGATTCCTTTTTTTTTTTTTTTTTAAGGTTTTAGTTATTTTAGAAGAGAGAGAGTAAGCGAGAGAGAGAGCACAAGCTGGGGGAGAGGCAGAGGGAGATTTTATTTTTAAGATTTTTTAAAGATTTTATTCATTTATTTGAGAGAGGGAGAGCAAGCATGAGCGGGGGAAGGGAGAGGCAGAGGGAGAAGCAGGCTCCCCTCCAAGCCCGACCCGGGGCTCGATCCCAGGACCCTGGGATCATGACCTGAGCCAAAGGCAGACGCTTAACCAACTGAGCCACCCAGACGCCCCCATAGTTTCCTTTCCTGTAGCTGGAATTCCCCGGAGTTAACCTGCTGACCTGTTTTTAGTGGCAAATTAAGTCAATAACCCACCCTTTCCAGGGGAAACCTCCCTGAGGGGATCTGTCCTGCCAGCGCCATCTGATTCACTGATGTGGTATGTCGGAGAGGAGAGAGGCGGTTCAGGGAGGAGGTGGAGGTTTGGCACGGTCTCATGGGGTTGCTGACAAATGTACCTGCACAGAGAAGGAGGTAGACCTCAGAGGTTGGGGCGCAATGTGGTCCATCTGGTCTCAGCACACAGGCCAGGCGTGGCGCCCGTCGTGCTCAGTGAATGCTGAGTGGAGCAGCCTTGCTGCGGTCAGCATAGCCGGGGCTCTGTCCTCCCCGGGCCCCAAGGAGGTGTTCATGCCGCCCAGGGTGATAACTGGTTGCCAGAGAAATCCGTGAGAAGAGTGAGCTCCTGGGGGGCTGGTCTCTGAGGTAACCCACGATGTGACAGCTGTGACACTGGGTTCCCTTCAGGAAACTTCTGGAGCCTAAGTCGGCAGAGGCAGTGATAAGGGCATCAGATTTTGGCTTGGTTTTTATGTGGGCACAAAAGAGGAAAGTCTTTTTAATGCACTTTCTGTATTGTTAGGTTAAGGCCTTACTGCAACCCAAGTCACAACCTGGACTCTCCTGGTTGAAAAAGCCTTCAGCTCTGTGCCACGGAGCATCTGTCTGTCACTTCAGACCCTTTCAGATTTGGGTCCGGCGAGCAGGATTGTCAGGGCATTTCCCTCTGGGCTCCGAACAAACAGGGGTACATACACTGTTGGAGCAAGTGTTTAATGCATCTGATGAATAAAAGTTCAGATTTCTAAGAACAGAGGGGATGGTGCTCCAGGTCAGTAAATGGTGATTCCAAGTTAAACATTCCAGAAATACTGAGCACTCGAGCAGGACAGAGGCTCTCAGTGATTTAAGTTCACAAGCCCTTCCTTCTGCCCAGGCAGGATTAGGATGCCAAAGACTTGGAACTAGTGGGCCGGGACCGGTTCTTAGGCTTTTTCTTCATGGACATGGTCCTAGATTCCCAAACTGATAAATGAGTCTTTTCCAGAAGACCTACTTGTTAACAAGAAGGCTTCTTTTCCTATTTATAGGGCAAGCGTGAATAGAAGTAAGTTGCTGGACAGGAAAATTAAGGAAAAGACCTGGCCAGGGAGAATGAAGTTTAAGGGCGAGGACCAACTTAGAACACCAGAGTTCTGCCCTGTGACGGAATCGGAAATTGGGGGACAAGGGCTGAGGGACAGCCTCTGGGAGTGTCTGCCGCTGCCTGTCCCAAGGTCTGCTCTCAGAATGGATGTCCCTTGATAATTTCCCATGATCTAGAGAGAAAGGGAGGGATGGGGGTGGGTTTCTGATAGCATCTCTTCCTACAAGTCTGGAAATGTCCTAGACCTGAAGGTGGGAGCGGGTGGGCTCTGAGGAGCATTGACTCTGGGATGGCTGCTCTGCCTCGTGGGGAGGGAAGCGGGATGGATGAGGGGAGCGTATCAGCAAGGAAATGGAGCCACTTCCTGGATGGTGGGGGGCGGCAGCAGACCTCTGCTTCACCCCCTCCATCTATCGTATCACCGAGGATGCTAGGAAACGTCCTTCTGAGGCCTCCTGGTTCCTGGGCCTCTGACCTCTTGTCCTCACAGCCTGCACAGCGTGCGGGGGGGATCAGCAAGCACACAAGCACAAAAGGAAAGTTGTGTGAGGTCCCTGCAGAGCACACTCTTTCCGGCCAGGGTGATTGTTGAAATGAGTGTGTCAAGTTTCTGCTGAGCATCTCTTTAGCCTATCCCAGCTGGAAGTACGGATTTTGGAAAGAGCCAGAGTCATGGCTGCCTCTGTTATTTATTTCACCATTTTTCCTGAGTGTCTTCTTTAGTCCTGAGGACCGAGACAAACAGGACAACACCAAAGACCTGTTCTCTGCTCCTCCCTGCCCCCTCTCCTCCTCCCCATCTCAATTTTTTAAGACATACTCAAAATTGACCGTGCGTGTTTTGACCCTTTCCCCCTACTCCCCCCCAGAATCTCTCACCTACACCTGCAGCTTTCTACTTCACCGATGGAGAGTGGGGTCTACCTCAGCCTCCTAGGAGACACTGAGGGGCGGAGATGGGTGAGGTAGTGGCGCCTGAAAGTTCAGGCTTGGTGGTTCTGGGGGCCTGCTGCAGCGGGCTGGGTGCCCTCCTTGGTGATGATGATGGAATGCTGAGTGGAGGAGGACGAAGACGAGGAAGCACGTCTGTCCGCCCTGGCCCGGGCCTTGGGAAGGTAATGGACCACAGCACTCAGCAGCTGGTCCCGGAATCTCGGGCTGAGAAAGTTGTAAAGGAGAGGGTTGACGACACAGTGGAGCATGGCAAAGCAGTCGATGACGTCGTAGAAGAAGTACAGCAGGTGGACCAGGTAGCAGTGGAGGGAGATGTGGGTCCCGTGCAGTGTGAGCAGGAGCAGGGTCACGTGGTAGGGCAGCCAGCAGACGGCGAAGATGACGACGTAGGCACACACCAGAAGGCAGTGGCGCCGGCCCTCGGGCCAGCCTGCCTGCCGAAGGCGGCAGGCCGTCAGCACGTTGAAGACCACCATGAGCGGGAAGGGCAGCAGGAAGCCCAGGACGGTGGTGGACAGGGCCACCGCCAGGGCCCACGTGCTGTAGGTTTCAAAGGGCGCCATGAAGAGGCACATGGGCTCGGAGCTCTCCACCAGCTGGATGTGCACCACCTCGGGCAGCGGGATGATGGCCGAGAGGACCCAGACGCCCGCACACACGGCCCGCCGCATTCGGTGCTGCCGGCGCTGCCAGGAGGGCGACGTGTTGGTGAGGGTGACGTAGCGGTCGACGCTGAGGCACACCAGGAAGAAGATGCTGCTGTACATGTTGGCAAAGTAGAAGTAGTGAGTGAAGCGGCAGGAGAAGCTGCCCCAGAGCCAGGTGTAGTCCAGCATGACCTCCAGCATCCACACGGGCAGAGACAGGACGATGCCCAGGTCTGCGATGGCCATGTTGAGGATGTAGAGGTTTAGCAGCCCCGCCCGGCCCAAGCAGCGCCAGTTGACGCAGATCACCAGGAGGTTCTCCACCAGCCCCAGCACAAAGATGGCCAGGTAGAGGACAAAGAGGACCACCTGCTTGGTGTCCTCTCTGAGCTCCATGTGGCACTCGGGCAAAGTGTGGTTGAAGAAGTAGAGCAGTTCGTTCCAGTTGTGGATCTCTCCGAAGTCACTGGCAGGTGCCGTGGTGAAGCCTTGTGTGGGGGCAGGCCCCATGTTGTCCTCGACTGACATTAGGACCAGCGAACGCCTAGTGGGGAGAAGAGAGGGTTGGAAGAGAACGGAGACCTTGAGAGCAGCCTTAGGTCTCACGTTAGCGGGCCCCAGGGACCAGGAGGCTTTGGGAAAGGACTCTGGGTCTGAAGAGGCAAGAGAGAGAGTTTAAACACTCAAACTGTGGAGAACTAGTACACAGCTCACTTGCCGGCCTTGACCTGCGAGCAGAGACATTTTGTTAGGGCTCAGTGGCGCGAGAGAACCTAACTGTGCCCAACCAGACTCCTTCCCAGCCTGGGGGCTGGGGTCCCACCGTCGCTCCGGCCACAGGCTGCCTCCGACCTCCATTTCTCTTCTGGCACCTCACCCCTTGGCCCTTTCACGTGGGAAGCCTTACTCTGTCTCGCCTTTGGGCTATGGATGTGGGACACACGCACACACACACACGCGCACACACACACACACACACACACACACCCTCATTTATCCCCAGGGACATCTGTGGATCATGCATGAAAGCCAGTTTGTCTTCTCGCCCTGATTCCTTTCTTTCCTGAAACGGAGACACCTACCTGCGTTTGTGTCAGGAGCGCTTCTAGCCCTGGAGGACCGGTGGGTCTGGGCTGTTGCGGAGCCACAAGGAGACTGGAGGGACGGTGGCCGTGGGGCTGGCTTCGCTGTGGGCTTCAGGGCCGTCCTTCTCATCCGGGAAGCAGTATCACTGGCTGAGTCTCTGTGGGAGAGGGTCAGGGTTTTTCCTGCCTTCCCCCAATCCAGATAGAGGGGAAGTCACAACAGATGACCCAGTGTGCCAGTGGCAGGGAGGAGTCAGGCTGGAAGAGTGAAGATCCCGACTCAACTCACTAGCTGTGTGAAGTTACCTCTTTACGCCTCAGTTCTCTCCTCTGCAAAATGGGACAATACTATTTACTGTTAGGGGTGTTGTGAGAATTAAGTGAGCCCACAGGGTGAAGTGCTTAGCACAGGGCCAGGCCTGTGGTAAATGCTTTCCACATGTATGTGTTTTCCGCTCTACGTGGGCTTGGAATCCCACTCTCCCGTGTCTGTCGATTCCTACTAGAGCAGAACTGGATGGGGGTGGGCAGGCTAAAGTAAATCTGAAAACCAGCCAGACTTTCAGGCATGCTGCCCTTCCCCACTGCATTCCGCACCCACCCTGCATTTTGGCTCTGAGGGGAGAATCTGGAGAGAGAGGGAAGACTGGGGGGCGGTATGGAAAGGGGGCTGTGTTGAGCTCCAGGGAGTTTCCTGGATGGGGAGGGGGAGAACAGCATCCTTCC